AACGATGTCTTATTCAGTTCACAGTCACTCAGATAGGGACTTTTGTTTTGGAGTTTTTAATTCACTTTTTGATTTTGTGAGGAAGCAAGTATCTGCCTTTCAATTGTCATGCAAGTCCTGATCCCAGTTCCAAATCCGCGTTGCGTCAAGACATCATGCTTCCTGCGGCCTTGTTCCATAAACACCGCGTCCTCATCATATCGTCATCTCGACCGATCATATTGTCGGGTGTTCCATTCTTCGTCGAATTCTCAATGCGTCTCCAGACATGCGCGCCGTTCAAATCATGACCCCAAGTCCCGTAGTTCCAATCCGTAGTGTGAATGTAGAAGTCTCGAGCGAGCCGAGACAGACTGAGTCGCTGGTGACGAATGCTGGCTATCGCATATCCGTTTTGGCGAGTCGCGTGAGTTGTTTGCCGTCATCTCAAAAGATGGTCAGGTCGAGGGGAGGGGGGCGAGTTGTTTATTTGCTGTGTTTCTGTCAAACCACAATCCTCGTATCAATGATATCGATTGGTAAACTTACGAGCGAGCCCTCATCTTTCTTCTCTTACGCTTGAGACGACGCACGCGCTTCTTTCTCCACTTAGCTCTCATCTTGAATGACGAAGCTGCGATATGTCAGTGATGGATTCGCATTGCGCGCAAATATCAACCCTGCCAATTGCTTGCCGAAAGCTCTCCAATCCCTCGCAGAATTGGCGCTGACGACATCGCGATGGGCGTAGCGGGTAGGGAAGGGGCGCAGTACTTACTCTTCCTTGGTGAGAGATGTTGGTGATGAAACTTCCTTCCTCCAACTGTCACGCGCCTGGAGGGGAAGTTTTAGTGGTTGAGCTCCGTAGGGCAGCCAACCCTACTACCGCATTATGTAATCCACACAGACCCCACACTGCCACCTAAAGCTCCTCGTCCCTCACCAAAGTGTTGGAACGTCCAGGACACGGCAGGCATGTAAAGTGCCTTCAATTGGCTTGACCTCACTGGTCCTCTGCCCTGACGGGAGCTCACTGACAGGCACTCCAGGTCCTCTGCTCCGTTCATCCCGTCCTCAGCTCCCATCCTGCCCCGCACCGGATCAACGCCGGCATGTACGGACCTACGGAGGCGGGTCATCCGGGTTCCACTCATGCCCGGAGTGGGGCCTGTTCCGGAACCGGGTGTATTGGCAGCGCTTGAGGCCGCATTCGCCCTTCAGATGACCAAAGCACGGAGAAAGACAAGATCCCACGAGCATTGCTTCACTTTTCTTGTCAGCTCATACCCGTATTCCGGGTCACAGCCAGCCTTTCTGAAGTTACCTTACTCCAAGTGAAGGGCAAGACCAAGCGAACCGAGCCCCTAATGCGGTCTACGAGTGGTGCTCTCAGTGCAGTCTACTTATGTTTTGCAGTGTGAACACTGAATTGCATACGCTTCCATTCCTCTATGATCTGCGCATCATGCCATCGGAAATAATACAGGTAGTACTACACACGCAATGGGACTTCGTCCTCACTGATAATCGCTGTGTCCCTTGGGCTCAACACCAGACATCTTGTCCGAACCGCCCTTCTTCTTCTCGCCCGCCTTACCATCACCCTTCTTCCCTCCCTTGGCCTCACCACCAGCATTTCCCCCATCCTCAAACCCAACAACCTCAATCGTCGTAGCGACGTTACCCCTCGTAGCCCGACTATACGGACAAACCTCCTCCGCCCTCTCCACAACCTTGTGCACCTCCTCGTCGCTCAGACCCTTAACCCGAACCTTCAAATTCACCCTGAGTCCCATATCAAGCTTCTTCATATCGCCCACCAGATGCACAGTCGCATCCACGACGCTGTCCTCGGGCTTCTTGGGCATCGTCACCCCCAAGCTCGCCGCCGAAGCGTTCATGGCGCTCTGGAAGCAGGCGCCGTAGCCCGCGGCGAAGAGCTCTTCCGGGTTGGTTTTGCCCTTGTCGCCGGCGCCGCCGAGGGCCTTGGCCATGGTCAGGTCGACGACGAGGTCGTCGCCCTGGACGTGGCCCGTTCGTGCGCCGACGACTTTGGCGTGGGCGGAGTAGAGAACTGGTGCGGTTTCGGTGTTGAGGAGACGGGTTTGTTGGTGTGCTAGTGGCGTGATGCGGGTTGCGGCAGTACCGCGGGAGAGGATCTGCGGTGCGCGCTGCGCCAGTCTGAGGGAGCGAATCGAGGCCGACATTTTTGCGGATGGTTGGTCTATCGAGTGCTGAGAGTTACACAATTTTAAGCAAGGAATATGAAGGATACAGAATTGAGGTGAATTGAGTAATGTGAATGGGGTTTGAACAGAGAGAGCTCGAGAGCTTTGCAAGCTCTTTTGTTGACCTTATAGCTTCTCGCATTTGGAGCTTAGCTCTGGATCGTCTTGAGAATGTACCGGTCACCGGTGACGTATTGGATAAGGCACCGTAGGTCGAGCATCGCAAGCCCCCCTAACGGACCGCAAAGTCCTGAAGCTGACTCATCTGGGGCATTCCATCCCAAAGAATTGCGAGTGACAAACATGGACGTTTTCTACTTAGTATCTAAGGTATGTTAGCACAATATCTGTTTCCGTTCACGCCAAGTAGCCCAGGTACATTGGTTGCCAGAGCCATCAACTCAAATAGTCTCGAGACAAGGGCGAGGTTCTAACGCAACTCCGAACATCGATCAAAGTCATGTAGAAGCAGTTTCCAAGAGAGTGATCGGACAAGTTCCTTTTAACTCTGTTGGCGCACAAGGACATGATTCTTCTTAATCTCACGGCATGCACCTATTGTAGGCTCTTCTCGCTGTATATCCTGACAGTCGCCTTGTTCACGAAGCAATGGAGACGAAGACAGAAATGAGAAGCAAGTAGCGTGCATCCAAGAACATGATATATCTTTTCCCCCCATAAAAATCACCATCTTGTCGCGTCCCAATCGTTACCAGCAAATGCCTCCCTCTACCTTGCCCTTATCAGATGCCATCATCGTGTAATCTTGATCCATCCAGAGCTTCGCCTCATGCAAAGAAAAAACGTGACACCCTATACCACTCTATCCGGGAATTAAAAAACAAACATCTCCCATCATGCCTCTTCACCCAAAGTCAGCATCGCCTCCCGCGGCCCCTCAGGAGGAAACACCAACGGCCGCAGCTCCGGGTACGCCTCGTCCTCCTCATCCACCAACAGCGGCTCAAGCAGCCCCATAACCTGCTCCCCCGACCGCGCATCCCGCGCCGTCAGCGTCTCCAGATCCCTCACCACGACGGCCCTCTCCGCCCCGGTCAGAGGCCGCCTCCGCTCCCTCTCCACCGCCTCGGCAACCTTGCCCCGCAGCCTCCCGCCCGCCGTCGTCGACGTCTTCTCGTCAGCAAACGCGACCAGGTTCCCCCTCCGCACGACCAGCACCCGGTCCACGAAGTCCACCTCGTCGATCCACTCGGCCACGCTCGTCAGCCCGCCGTACGAATCATCGTGGATCTTGACCGGCGTAAGCCGGATCGGCAGGCCCCCCGCCGGCCCGGCCTCGGGCAACCTCTCGTGAAACCGGTGCAGGATGCCCAGCCTGCTCAGCGCCGCCGGCACAGCCATAACCACGACCTCGACGCGATACCCTCCCGCCCCAAACGCGCGCGCCAGCTCGCGGAAATCGTCCGGGTGCCGGCACGCGCTCTCGAGAAGCACGTCGAGCCTGCGCCCCACGGCCTCGGCGACGGCCATGGCCAGCCACCTCCGGGCGTCGGTGCCCGTGGCGGGGCTCGCGAGGGCGGCCTGCGCGGGGTCCCTTGACGCGACGAGCGCGGCGTAGGAAGGGTGGTGCGCCTTGTAGAGGTCGGCGATGAGGTGGGCGGGCGGGTGGATGCGGGTCATGGCGTCGAGCACGGCGGGCGCCAAGCGGGTTTTGCCGGCGCCGGTCTGGCCGACTATCAGCACGGCCAGGGGCCGAGACCGGCGGGGGTGCGGGGTGAGGGTCGCGGGGAGGTCGGCGGGGAGGATCTTGTTGGTGAAGATCTCCCGTGCCTCTGCGTCTGGGAGGACGTGGCGGGATAGATCTGGTGGTGGTGGCATCGTTTTTCTTCTTTCTGTGTTTGTGGAGTTTTGGGGAAGTGGGTTGCGATGAAAAACTGTAATTACTGATCCCTCGGGGCGTTCTTCTGGGTACCGAGTCTACCTTATCTAGCAAATTTCCAAGAAAGAAACCTCCCCCGAGTTTTGGGTATAATTTTTTTTTTCCTCGCTGAGAGGGGACGTGAGGAGAAGGGGGAAGGGAAAAAAAAAGCAGGTGACTCCAAGTGGTGTTTAACATGCAGAGGCGGAGTCAATACACGGAAAATCAGGCGCACAAGTGTCTTGTGCCAATAAATCCGGCATACCCGGGGAAACCGGAAGGAAACAAACTGCCAAAGTCCGCTCGTCTTTGCCCTGCCTATCTCGCAAAAGTATAAATTCGCCTATCCTTGGCGGAAGTGAAGGGGGAGAGTTGAGCGAGTCAAGGGGGGGCGGCCTAGGTACGGTTGCTCTTTGACGTGAACCTATCGCCCTCCCGTCACCCACCCCCCGCGCGCGCCCGAGAGCAGTGTGATGGGATGGGATCATGGCGTTCTCTCAGTTTTTTTTCCTGATTTTCCTTCTCCCCCCAGCGGTAACTCGGACTCCACACACGCGACGGGAACCCTTGACTTGATCCAATCACGGCTTCCAGTGTCGAGCCGACCAGCGGCAAAGAACTTTGTGGACTCAATGGGGGTGTGGTTTGGGAACTTTGACTTCACAAAGCCGTCCCTCGGCAGATCTTGGTTTGGCTAAAGTTACCTTACCTTGCCTACCTTAGCACATTGCTTGGTGAGGTACTAATGTACGGGAACTAAGGTTGAGCAGTAAGCGGCCCGAGAACGAGCGCGACATGACGGGATGCCAGATATAGTAGAACTGCGATCAGAGTCGCATTTTCCTTGTTTGTTTCCGGGAGGCAAAGATTTGTCAGAAGATGGCTAAGTTTCTTTTACCCCGACTATGCCGGCAATGAGTTGCATTACGTTCGTTGGTGCCCGACCCGAGGTTCTGGTACAGGGTATGACAAACTCCCGGGCGGGCCCGGGCACTGCCCCCGGCGCAGCGCTGCCGGGCCCCCTGCAGATCCTTCCATCATCCGGAATTCTGTCATCGGGAATCATGATCGGATCTCGGTTGTTTGCCAATTCGGGTCACCCGCCCCGCGCCGCGGCGGCGCGGAACTCCCGTTTCGGCCTTCGGCTTTGATGGAGAGAATCCTGACCTTACTGACAAGCTTTCTGGTACTAAATGCGTGATGCCATCAAGGTTGACTTGCCGTGCCTTTAAAGTTACGGATGAATTTAATATGATGCCTAAACCAATATGTGGGATATTATTGCTTTCTTAGGTAAGGTGCGTTGTACATGGGGGTTCTCATTCGACGGAGGGGGAAAGAAGGTGACCTTGCACAACATGTCGAACCTTGTTCGTTGAGAACTTTTGAGGCGGTCTGGAATATCGTACCATTCATCCCTCTCACCGTTTGCTTTACAAAGTTCGTGTCACGATCATCTTCTCTTTCAGAAAATAGAACCAAGATGTACTATTCCAGGACTCGGCTTTGCTGCTCTTGGTCAAGGAACAATGCCTTGTGGTCTTATTCAAATCTTGGCAGATGAAGAAATACTGTCTTCCATTGTTTCTCGGACGCCATGAAGAATACATTCAAGCAAATCATCGACTCCATCAATGATACCAGGCTCAAGTAGAACGCCGTCAAACCCATTCCCTGTTATCACAACTTTCGAATTTAGCCTGTATCGACAAACTTGAACTAGCCAGAGCAGTTACCACAATCTTCTTGACAAACTATTGAGTTGGACCAGATCTAATGGGAAGGGGGAGGGGGGGCGGCGGCAGATGAATGCTCGGATTGGGCAAGGTGATGATGATGGTGATATCCAGATTCAACGACAGGAGGAAGAAGAACTTCGCCTCTAGCAACAGCAATAGCAGGGGCCCTACATTGAACCTCAGACCCCAGTCGAAGGCCGCACGATTGATGATGATGACGATGATGATGACGATGATGATGACGATGATGGCGACGACAGCATCGTCGTCACAACGCAAGAGCCAAAAGAGCCAAAAGACCAACGCACCCAAGGCAGGGACCTCGCGGGAGACTACACGGCACACATCCGGGCCAAAAGCTACCTCTGACTCAGCGACTGGAGCGAAGCCGAGATGCGCAAGCTAGGAGACCTGCGCTCGCGGGGCGTGGGACGGCAGCTCATCAGCGCGCAGACGGGTGAGGGCAGGGGTTGCAGATCGGTAAAGGCCCTTGCGTGCAAAGTCCTGGCGGCCGATGGGGAACGATTCGCGCGCGAGGAAAGCGAGAGTGTTGGCAGAGGAGGTAAGAGGCAGAAGGGAAGGGGTAGGAGAGCAAGGCAAGGTAGGTTCGAGATAAAGATGTTGGGAAGTGAAGTTGACGCACACTCGTCCGAGGTTTAGATCCCTGCTTTGTACAGAGAAGCAGAGTGGAAACCAGTATTTGAAACAGTAAATAGGGTCAAGTGGTATTTCTCCAGGCTGAGCCAGACAGCGTCAAATCCACGTCACCAAAGTACTAGGACAAATCTCAATGGCAGGCAAATTTTCTCAATATTGACGACTATAAAAAGCAAAGACCAAATTGTCTCCGCCAGCAGTACTTCAAAAGGTATCCATCATCCTTCGTGTTCAACGGACGGCCATGTTCGCCCGTTGCCATCCCCCGATAGACCTCCTAACCTAATGAGAAAGAACCCAGTGAGAGCCAAGCTGCAATGCCGGTTCAAGGTCCTGTGATTGCCCTTCCTTGCACTCGTGCGGACTCCAGAAACAACAGTATTGTCTGGCCACACCGCCAGTGAGCTCGCAGCCTCAGATTCCCAACGCCAATGAGATGAGGTATGAGTGAAAGACGAAAGCCCGTGTGAATCCCTAGTAATGCCGAATTCCCATTCCCCCAACGCCGATGTATGAAAAGTGATGTGAGGTATTCCGGCCCGTGACACCCGCTGCAATATGAGTGTCGAGTCCGCCATTGTTGGCCAAAAATCCTCAGAATCAAATAAAGCAATAATTCGTAGCCGCGAGGCTGGTGATTTTTGGTTTTTTACGTTTTGTTTTCCAGTGAAACAAGAGCGATGCCCTCCCTATCAATTTCTTGCGCCTTACGACGCGTGCGATGGCACGCTGCGAGGCGTCACATCCCCGCTACGTCTGCGGCCTTGGAGCTGTGCGGCCTGCTGCGACCTCGATGCCTCTGCAATCATGGCCATTTTCTTGCGGACAGTTGAGAGACGTGCGGTAATCATTTGAATCACTGCTAAATGTTAGTGCCATAAGAAAACATGGATACAGCTGCCCATCACTTACTCCGATTCACGGCCAGCTGGTCGTCGCTGTCCAGGTCACTAGACGTCTCCTCGCGAGGCAACTCCTTGCCTGAGCTAGAGTAGCGCCGCTTTACTGCGTCTTCGTCGTTGTCCAAAACAGCCTCCAGCATCCGAATGGCCGTGACATAATACGTGACGCAACCCTCAAGGTTCTCGTTGGTAATTTCATCAATGGCGGCTGTTCTGCTCATCTCAATGGCTCGGTCGTACATCAACTTCTCCGCACTAATGCCCGGCGTGAGGTAGACATCGGGGGTGCTTGAAGTAGCTGACGAAGCCGAGACTCCGCCGTGGTTGCTCGGGTGGCTGGGATGATCCTCAGGAAGCTTTTGCTGGACGGCAATGAGTTTCATCCGGACGACCTCGGTCTTCTCCAAGACTTCGTTGAAACGAGTCCGAACCCATTGAACGGTGGAGTTGATGCGCTGAGCGAGGCCCTCTTTGGAAACCTCTGCCGCAGATGTTGTATCCCCACGTGTCTTTTGTGACCACCATAGGCTTGCAGCGTCCATGGCTCTAGCTAGCAACGTCAGAGCCTTGACGTACAGGACCAAAGCCTCCTCAGACAAGGAAACCTCGGCATCGATTGTGAGGCCGTCCTCATCGCCAGTGATCTGATCGGTCGGCGTACCACCGAGTCCGTGCTCCATTGACGGGGCGAGAGGGAAAAGCTGCTTGTACTTGACTTCGGCAAATCCATAGACACAGTCACTTCGGTGAGCGAAATCCTGGATGAGCTTGACAGCTCGCGCATCTTCGTCGGCTGGTGCGTTTTGCTTTCCATCGCCGATGAGGCCGACGGGACCTGAAGGGGTAGGGTAGGCAGGGAATGGGCTGTACAGAGGAGGAGACGCCCCCTTTCCGCCCAGCACATGCTGCGGTACCTTGAATCCGAACAATCGTACGCTGGCGTCTGAAATAGCTTTGGCGATAAAGCCTTGAGTTGTCGGGCTGGCGGAGAAATTCTTCCCGTCGTACGAATCGCGGCTCTCATGACCGGGACGCCCCTTGCCTGAAGCGATCTGAACTGCACTGGATGGCTGGACTCGGCCGGCGCCGGTCGTCGAGGTGGGCGGTCCCTGTTGCGTGGCTCGGCGAATCATCTGGCCAGTCTTTGGCGAGAGTGACGTGAGACGTGGGTTAGCGGCCATTTCATCAGCAAACGCGTTTACCTCAACGTGCTTCTTTTCGACCACAACATAGTCTCGCTCAAATGCCACATCTTGTGCCGCCTTCTCTTGTTCGGTGACACTCCGCTCGGTGACGGGACGAAGTCTGTTCCTTGCCGGATTGTCGTTCAAGTACGATGTCGGCGGGGAGGCGGAGGCTCGTGCAGAAGGCCGGTTGAGAGCTGCATTAGAGAGTCTGTGTGGCCGGGCTGGTGCAGAAGTGGAGGGTTGGGCCATAGGCGGACGACGAATTCCGAGTCCCTCCCCAACTTCTTGCCCCGGAGACTGGCCTGGACGTGGCGCAGCATCAATGGCCTGCTGGGCGCGCCCTTCGATGGGACTGGGCAATTTCGGCGATCTAAGAGGCTTCTCACGAGGCGATTTTGCTGACTCGCCTTGCTCACGTACAGGCTCAGTCTCTGTTTGCCGGCGAAGAGAGAGCCGACGTGATAACGATGACGTGGAATCGGACCTGCCGAGAGACCGCAGATCGCGCGAGGCCTTTGCCTCAGGCTTCGGCGGCGCATCATCTTCAACAGTGCCTGGAATGGGTTCTGTCAAAATTGGATCGTTGAAGAAGTCTTCGAATCTCATGCGTTCGACCGGGTTACGAGTGAGAAGCTTGCCGATGAGCTTGACCAGCTCTTTACTGACCACGAGCTCCTTGGGGTACTTAACCCGATCTTCGGCAGCTTCGATCTTTCGCAAGAGCTCTACGTGGTTCCGGGCGCGGAATGGCGGACGACCAGTAATCATCTCGTATAACACCGTGCCTACAGACCACAGGTCGGCCTTCGCGTCGTACCGCTCATAGCGAAGGATTTCTGGAGCCATGTAGAGAGGAGATCCGCAGAGAGTGTCGGCGAGCGACGTTGACGGGAGGACACGAGCGAAGCCGAAATCTGCGAGCTTCAGCATCGGAAGAGAAGCGAGACCAGCATTAGGAATCAGTGAATCCTGGCTGGCGGTCAAGATCGGGCGGGAGTGTGCCTCCCTGAATCTTGGTGATGGTAGGAGCAAAAGGTTCTGAGGCTTGACGTCGCGATGAACGTAATTCTTCTCTCGCAGGAACTTGAGAGCGCTGCCGAGCTGTTGAAGGAAATGGCGTGTGACAACCTCATGGAGACCCGAATTAGGGGTAACGGGGTACTTCCTCGCCATCTCGTGCGTTGCAGGGTTGGTGCTTAGCTTGTCTCTCTTCTTGATGAACAATGACAAGTCACCGAGCTCACAGTATTCCATCACCAGGTTGATATGTGTGGCTGATTCGACGCAGTCATGGAGGGCGACGATGTGCGGGTGGCGAAGAGTCTTGAGGATCTGGATCTCTCCGTACAAGTTCTCTCGTAGCTTGTTATTCAAGCGTCCCATTTCTACTGATTTGATAGCGACGGTTGCCTTGGAGTTCTATTAAAAGAGAATTAGCACATTTGGAGCAACACAACAATGCAAGCCAAAGTTGAGTCATAGCACTTGAGCAAATCAGGAGGAACAACAGAAGGTGATACACGCAACAGGCCTCAAGGAAAACACGACGGACAGGGGAGCTGGCGAACCTTGTGGTGACCGCTGTACACCTGGGCAAAGCTGCCCTTGCCGATTTCGCCTCCAATAACAAAGTCTCCGATAGAAGCGTCGCCTTCGCGTCGCCTGCGTCCTGAAGAGGACGAGGTGGGTAACCGTTCCGCCATGTTGATCGCCTGTAATGCTGCTTGTGAGGATGCGAGTTCGGGGGTAGCGTTCAGGTCAGGCCTTTGGCCTATGCTATTCGAAAGACGTCGGCCGGATGGGGTGTCATGTACACGATCGAAATTGGGGAGATGGTGGTTGTGATGGATTTATTCGATAGATTTGGCGGAAGAAAGGTGCGCCGAAAGAGAAGCAAGAGGAGATCAGGCAGAACCGGGAGCAGCAGCCAGAACCCTGGTGTCGGTGCTTCGAAAGGTAGGGGACTGTGAAGGCAGCGACAGGCAGGTATCCGATAGGTCGGGGTGCACGCGGACCAGGTTGATGCAGAAGGGAAGGACCGTCGTAGCGTCCGTGGGTGGGTGCAGGATTGTGTCGACGAAGCGAAAGTCGAAGAAGGTAAAGAAGGGCAAGGATGGATTTGTTCGGGGGGTCGTGGTGTATCGAGCGGTGATCGGAGAGGGAGTTGAAGGAGGGAGGCGCTGGAAGTATCGAGAGAGATGTGACTAATACGGGTGGACGGTGAGCGTTAGGAAGCAAGCCAAGGAGAAGGTACCAGGCCGTTTGAGGCTCTCTGGGAGTATATCGGAGAGTTTGGAGCAAGTTCGGAGGGGAAAGGTACCTTTTTCAGGACAAGAGTCAGGCAAAATCCAAGGTCAAGCTAATGACTCGGAGCTACCAAGGACGTGACGTTGTGTACTCGAGAGGTACCCTGATGGAGTGGGAGACCGAGAGAGAGAGAGAGAGGCGGTTATGTGGGCGAAGCAAACGGCGGTACAAACGGGCAGGCGATGGATGGTGTTAGATGTTGGTGGTAAGGTATGCGCACAAAGGGCTTTCGCGGAGAGCAACCGGGGAGGGGCAGAGAAGTCGAGGGGATGTCGTGAATGTGGTGAGTAGAGAGAGAGGTAGGAGGTGGAAAGAG